TAATATTTGTACAAATTAGCCGAGAGAGAGAAGAAACTCTCGCTCGCTGGCGACTTTGGCGTTAAACGCAGATCTTGCAAAAAAAAAATGAGAAGAAGAGCTGCATCCGCATGCCATTGATCTGGATTTTATTACTAAGTACGGAAGTGGCTGGCAGCCTATTGTGCGTATTTTCGCTCATGCACACAATGCATCTCCCCCTTCCGCTTTGCCCCCATTTCAGGAAGGAGCTAATAACACCAGCGGGCGGCATATGCGCGCAAAAAGTCAATTACCACATCGCCATTGTTCGCTTCCCTACGCACTCTGAAATTATCATTGCTAATTCGCGTTATTAATTAACGATTATTTTCGCAGTCCTCCCTGCCGCGCGCCGCCACCGCTGCTGGTGCTCCGCGCCGCGCGGAGCGAGAACGCGACTGCGATTGTACCCGCTCGAGACTCGAGACGCAATAATCTCCGCGCGATATCGCCGTGTCTCCCCGTCTCCGAAGATGCTGGATCGCGATCCCCGTGGAGACGGAGAACGGTTTTCCGGTTCTCCAGGAAATTGCGTGTTTGCAACAGCCTGTTAGACGCAATCGCGTTAGCGCGGCTCGCGGCGTGCCACGCGCGTGTCGGAATAGTAACACTCTCGTCCTTATACGGCGACGACCATGACGAGAGGCCGATTACATCAACCGCGGCCGAGCGACCGGCTCAGTGACTCACCAGATAATAATCGATGGGTTTCTCGCGGGCCTTGCTGTAGCCCTTCTGTAGCTCGGTCTGCTTGAGCGCATGGGCGATGTGCAGGGCGCTCGCATCAAACCTGCCGTACTGATAGCTGCCGTCCCCCGAATAATTGTGATTGTACGGCGAGGAGGCGCCGCCGGTGCCGGTGCCGCCGCCGCCGCCGCCGTGGATGCCATCGCGCTGGGACGAGTTAGCCGCCGGCGGCGAGCCGTGCCCGTTCAGGTGCCTGGCATAATTAGGCGAGTCTACATTATCGTAACTGCAACAGAAGCGTGCACACGGGTCTTCAGGGGATTGCGAGGGTTCACCGGGCACAGGACCGCTCGGTGAGGTTCCCGCTGCGGGGATCGAGAAGCGATAACGCGTTAACTCTTCCACATTGCCGGAAATAATGAGATTAGTCCCAGAGCGACCCCCTCGTCGTGCCCCGATCTCGAATAAATTATCCTTATTACTATGCCGTGCATGTATGTAAAAATAACATATAAAACGATAGTAAAAAAAAATGTTGGTTATTATTTGAGAGATTAAGCTGAAGTGAACAAAAATGTCACTTGTTAGAAGAATAGTAGGGCTAACTTTTTCGCTGGGAAACAAAACTGTTTGAAAAAGATTTCCTCAAAGTTCCAGAAAATGTGAACTCATAGAATCGCTGATCTCAAATTATAATTCTCGAATTAAAAAAAAATTTTTTAAAGATTACAAAAAAATGTGATACAAAATTTTGTTAGTTTTTTAATATAAGCCGACTCATTATCTGTTAGTCTAGCTTTTAAAGCAATAAGGACTTCCTGTATTCCAAATTAGCCGGCGGAAAACCTCCAGATAGCAATTTTCATGCAAGTCGTATCAGTTTTTTCGCAATATCGCAAATAGTTCCAAACTTCCGAAATTCTCCCGAAGATAAACTTTCTGTTCTTGAATATTGTTAAAGTAAGAATTTTGTGTAAAAAATGCACGTACGTGTCGTGTAGATCGCAAGAATTGGCTGCGAGCGACATTAGTATATCGATGATAACGGAATAAAAGCGAACACTCGGAGGTAACACGCGGTGTCCTTGATACCGCGAACGTCGCTCGTTACACGACGACGTTGGCAAAGAATCCGGGTCGATGGATTACGTTAACCCACATATCCGCAACAATCGCCACATCAAGCCCTCCCCGTCGCGCGCGCGCGCGCGCGCGGGCTTGACCCATAATTCCGGATAACTGCTATATAATACGCGTAATAGACGCAATTATTGCGACGCGCGAGTCGCGTTGCAATTAGCGTCGCGGTTTAAGCTCCATGCACGTGAGAATTGCAATAAATAAAAATCTCACCGCAGGCGCGACTACGTCGCGCCTGC